GGAGCTTCTTATCTTCACTCATTTGTGAAAGCACAGCTCCCAAAGCAAAATCTGAAGCATCAGTTTCTAAATAGAAGGCTTTTGTAAAGTCTGGATGTACCAAAATTGGAGCTGTAGTAAATGCTGTCTTGAAAACTTGAAACGCCTTCTCCGCCAAAGGTCCCCATTCCAACTTATCCTTGCATGTTAATCGAGTGAGAGGAGCAGCAACTTGAGAATAATTCTTGATGAAGATCCGATAGAAGTTAGCAAAACCAAGAAAGCATTGTACGTCTCTAACCGTCTTTGGAACCTCTCAAGACATGATTGCTTCTACTTTCTTGAGGTCCATCTTCAAACCTTCTGTAGTCGCAATGAATCCCAAAAATTCCATCTCCGTCTAGTGAAATAAATACTTTTCTAATTTGGCATATAGTCCTCGCTTACGTAGTTTCTCCAAGACCAAACGAACATGCTCCTCATGCTCTTCCTCGTTTTTAGAGAATATTAGAATATCGTCCAAGTAGATGACAACAAAATCGTCGAGGTGTTCTCGAAAGATGTCATTCATCATATGTTGGAAAACCGCTGGAGCATTGGTAAGACCAAAAGGCATGACATTATATTCGAAATGACCATACCTTGTACGGAATGTTGTCTTCCACTCATCTCCTTCCTTGATTCGTACGAGATTATAAGCTCCCTTTAGATCAATTTTTGTAAAGATCTTCGCACGTCCAAGTTGTTCTAAGAGACTAGAAATCAAGGGTAATAGGTAACGATTTTTCTTTGTTACCTTGTTGAGGCCTCAATAGTCCACACACATCCGTAATGATCCATCTTTCTTCTTCACAAATAAGATGGTGCTCCAGTTGATGATTTTGAATGACGAATGAAGTTCTTGGCTAGATTTTCGTCAATGTACTTTCGTATATCTGCCAACTCCGTTTGCGATAGATTGTAGATTGGGCCAAAAGGTGGTTGTGCTCCTTCTTGCAAGTCTATGGCACAATCATATGGTCGGTGTTCCGGTAGTATGTCGGCGTTCTTCTTTTGAAACACGTCTTCAAAATCTTTATATTGCTTCGGTATACTTGCTGTTGAGATCTTCTCCTCGATAGTTGGAGCCGCATAAATGACAAATGGAGTGCCTTCCTTAGATGATCTTATAAACGCTCTTGCTCCAATGAATAAGGATTTCTTTTTTCGAGGTTTTTTACTAGGTTTTTTCTTGGGTGGTTTTGTGGGAAAAGTCATCTTCCGCAACCTCCAATCTATCAATGGATTATGTTTTTTCAACCAAGAAAGACCAAGAATAATAGGATTTGATGGGGTTCTAATAATATTAAAAATAATATGACTACTATGGTCTTTAAACGTTACTTCTATAGGTTTTGATTCATGGGTGATGCTACCAGACAATAAAGGTCGCCCATCTATGACCTCGACATGAACATGTTTTGATTTTTGTACTAAAGGGATCTTATGACGCTTTGCAAATTCTTCGTCCAAAAAACAAGCAGATGCTCCTGAGTCTAGTAGTGCTAAGGTTCTCAGTTTTTGAGGGCCGATAAACAGAGGGATTGTAAAACAAAGTACAGGTTGGATAGAAAGAAAGGAACCTGATTGTTGTTGGGATATTTCATTGTCCAGCCGCACGGTTCCTACTGTGGCTGGGCATCCTCGTTTTCCTGAACAAATACTCCCTTAGTCTTGACTATGCCTCGATTTTGCTTTTTGAGGCAGTTTCCAACTTTGTGGCCTTCTCCACCGCAATACAAGCATAAATTTTTCTCCATACGTCGCTTTTTTTCTTCTATAGTAAGAGATTTGATACGTACCGCATCAATTTACATGTCTTCCACCTCTGAATGTGAATTCACACCGCCTGCCGACATAGTTGGAGCATGGCGAATTGTATGTTGTCTTGAGCATTGGTCTTGGCGACGTTGAAATAGGCGATTATCGTACTTCACAGCTTAGCTAATGGCTTCATTGAGCGTTCGTGGATCAGAAAGAGTTAACAGCAAATCCTTCACATCATCTCTTAAACCCCAATAGAATTGACTCATCAATGCCTCTTCATCCCAATTGATGTCGCATACTAATTGCTTGAAATCCGAAGCATAGACTGATGTAGAACGCATCCCTTGTCGTAGCGATCGGATCTTTGTTGTAGCCCATCGAACCTTATCGTGTTTACCAAATGCTTCCGCAAATGCTTCCAAAAAGGTTTCGAAGTTGTTTAATATGGATGATCGTTTCTCAAAAAAAGGAGCAAACCATGATAGAGCTTGTCCCGTAAGTAAGGTTCCAACAAGCCCAACACGTGACTCCTCCATTGGATATCATTCGGGCTGTAAAACTGTTATCAACCTGATTTGATTGACGAATCCTCGAAACTTGGAACGTGTTCCATCAAACTTATCTGGAAGGCTAACTTGAGGCTCCTTATGTTGTAGACCTAGTGGTTCTTGTCGAACCTGAGGTAAAGTTGTTTCTCCAAGTGCCGAAATTTGAGGCTGGTGTAGTTTAGATTGTGCTATCCCAGATACTCCATCATTATGAAGCCTTGCCACCACTCCTTCAATCTCTGCAGTTCTTTGTGATAACGTAGCGAGGGCATTCATAATAGCATCTAACTTAGACTCCAAACTTTCTGTCATACTAATGTCTTGACCTCTGGCCATTCTAAAAGAAGGACAAAAATGACCCTATAAGAGGCAATATTGGTCTATAGGAGGGTAATCCACAACCTATAAAAGGCCTTAAGAATTTCAAGAAGAGGGGTAATCCACTCTCTCCAAGAAGAATAAGATTCCAATATTGTAATAGAAGAAGTATCAGTTTAGAGGAGGGTAATCCGCAACCTCTAAAAAATGCTAGTATACCTTCAAGTAGAGGGGTAATCCACACTCTACTAAGAAAGAACTAGCTCTGATATCTAAGGTGAATGAAGTCTTGACAAACAGTCACGGACACAAAATACAGACTTGAAATCTAACAAGAAGTTCAAGAAGAAGTGGCAGAACTAGATTAAACAGATGAGTACAAGAACAACACCAGAAAGGTGAGCTAGAACTCGAAGAGATGTGTTGTCGAGACTGAAGAACTCTTCAGCCTCGATCCCTATATATACTCCTACTTAGGAAGCTTCTCGAGCTACTTCTATTAACTAGGAAGCTTCTAGAAGGTTCCACAGGCTTCCTTTCTAGAAGGTTCTAGAAACTTCTTGAGCTACTTCTATTAACTAAGAAGCTTCTAGAAAGTTTCAGGGGATTCCTTTCTAGAAGCTTCTAGAAACTTCTCTTCTAGAAGGTTCCAGAGACTTCCTTTCTAGAAGCTTCTAGAAACTTCTCTCTAAAAGGTTCCAGAGGCTTCTCTTCTAGAAGGTTCCAGAGGCTTGTTTTTTAGAAGGTTCTAGAAACTTCTCTCTAAAAAGTTCTAAAGAATATGTCCCTAACAGAAGCTCACTTTGTAAAAAGATAATATTAATATTTTTAATTTACTAATCTTTGATTATTATCTATATTTCTAATATTTTAAAATAAGATAATTTGCTATAATATTTTAAAATAAGAAATGTGATATCTATTTTTTATTATGAAGTTGATAAATATATTTAACAAAATAGCTCTACAAGAGATAAATATTATTAGCCAACAAATAATATTGATTGTACTCTTGGCCATTCACTCCAAAAGTGAACTCAAAGGCCTCACTAATTAGCATATTGTGGATAAGTAGAAAATAGTCAATCATATTTAGATCATTATTTGAACCACAAATTCTAAAAAAAATGTGCCATATATATAAGCTCTGGTAGGCTATGGCCTCTAGAATAATAGATTGATTGTCTTGCCTATCACCAAAATCTCCTTGCCATGCTATAAGACAATTTTTTCCATTTATAATGCATACAATTCAAAGATATAAATATATCAGGAAACTTGTGAGGTTTATTGATGGATAATTCTTCCTTAAAATTATCTATAGTCAATTGTATTAGGTGATGTTCTTTAAATATTACTTAGACACCTATGTAATATTGCTTCATATTTTCTATTGTAGTGGATTCTCTTGTTTAACAATAATCATCCATGGCATCTATACAAATACTTAATGCAAACATCTAAAGTGTGGTTGTAAACTTTTGGCAAGATGACAATCCTATTAATCCAAAAGCATCTTGTTTTTGGATAAAGTATGGGTCATGCTTGCAAATCTTCTCCAAAAAGAGTGAGAAACAACAACCCTCTTATACGAAACTAAAGGCAAAAAAAATAGGACCATAAACTAATTCATCTAAAAAGTAATCAAGATACACTTGCTTATCCATAACCACCTTAGCTCTATCAATATTCTTAGCATTTTCTTTACAAAAATCACCTACAAAGTCCCATCATAGTAGTGACTTGTCATATAAGTTACTTTCAAATTGATCCAATGCCATTGCAATATTAACTTCATTATCTTCATCATTCTCCATAAAAGTTATACACACATTTTTTAACCTTGCATTCCATGCTTCCATTACAAAAACTTCTTTCATAACCACACACACAAAAAAAAAAAAAATTAAAAATTAAAAAAAAAAAAAAAAAAACTTTTACTTACAAAATTATGCTATTAAAAAGAAAGAGAAGAGACATGTAAGGAAGAAATGCAAAAAATTCCTACAAAAACAAAAAAACATGGAAAAAAAGAGTGAAAAAAGCAAGAAAAAAAAACTAAATACAATGTTCACAAATTTTTTATATATTATTGTCAATAAACAAAACACTTATAAAGATTGGGTAAATTCTAATTTCCAAGGGGCATGTAAGCAACTATGGAAGTGGAGACAAGAGAGAGAAATGTGGTGGTGGGGTCAAAGAAACTCATAGGACTGCAACAAGTGTTCAAGGAAGGAAATGTTGTGGAATTTGGAAATTTGGTAATTGTGGAGTATAGAGACAGAAGAGGTAGAGTAAAGTGCAGGTGGGGGCCGTGGGGATGGTTTCAAGGAGGAGGGTGTAAGGGCATGAAACTCAATGATGGGAGGAAAAAGGCACAACCTTGAAGGAGGAAGGAGGGCAGGGGCAGAAAGAAGAGGAAGGGTCATCTTCTCCGGAGGCGGGCCCTCCTCCCCTCCCCTCCTCAATCTCTTCTTCACCAAGCAAGGCAGGCTTTTCCTCGACTGCCTGCCACCAGGCTACCCATCTCTTCGCTGTGTCTCCCTCCCTCCTCACCTCTTTTGCTTCTGCACCTCTTCCACTCCTCCTCCTCCACCTCCTTCCCTCTGCTCATTGTCAGTTGTACCGCCCTGCAGCTTACTCTCTCCATTTTGTTTCTCCGCCGTTCTTTTCGTGTGCAATTTTCATTTTTGTTCCGAATTGTTGTGCATGTGAGGTGCAGTAGCTTACTGTTTTTTTATGTGCACGAGAGCTGTGGTGCGTAGGATTGCCCTGCGCAGGGTTTTAGGCGTTGGTAACGTTGTGCTGCGGAGTTGAATTTGAAGGTGATTCTGGGTTTGACAGGTGCGTGTGGGGATTGAGCAATATGGTGCCGCCGAATGTGGCAACCATAATGGCCGCAGGGGTAGCAGCTCTCACCCTCCGGTTCGTGTCGAAGCGGAAGGCCAAGAGTGACCATGGCGAGCGTGTGGAGGATGAGGAGCTGGAAGACGGGGAGTCCCCGACCGTGGGTGTGGTGCCTGTGACGGTTGCGTGGGATCGCATTGAGTGCATTTTGCGCGACAAACGTGGGAATGTGATCAAGAGGTTGCTGCAGGGAGTGAGCGGAGAGGCCAAGGCGGGGAAATTGCTTGCCATTATGGGACCATCGGGATCTGGTAAAACCACCCTGTTGAATGTACTGGCTGGGCAGTTGGCTGCCTCTCCTCGCCTGCGTTTAACGGGGTCCCTTAGCATCAATGGCCGTCCCTTTTCGAAGTCCAAGCACAGGGTCGCGTATGTGCGACAGGAAGACCTTTTTTTCTCGCAGCTTACGGTACGGGAGACGCTCGCTCTCGCCGCTGAACTGCAGTTGCCAAAGACATGGAAACCCAATGCCAGGGAGCGCTACGTGCAGGAATTGCTGTATCGTTTAGGGCTGGTTTCCTGTGCGGATACGATCGTTGGAGATGCCAAGGTGCGGGGTATAAGCGGAGGTGAGAAGAAGCGACTCTCCATCGCTTGTGAACTCATTGCAAGCCCGTCTATAATTTTTGCCGATGAGCCTACCACAGGCTTGGATGCATTCCAAGCCGAGCGCGTCATGGAGACGCTGCGGAAACTCGCCGAAGAGGGTCATACAGTTGTGTGCTCCATTCACCAGCCTCGTGGCTCAATTTACTCTAAATTCGACGACCTAATTCTGCTTTCAAGTGGAGCTGTTGTGTATGCTGGCCCTGCCGCCGACCACGCCCTGAAGTACTTCGCGGATTTAGGTCACAAATGCCCTGAGCACACAAATCCTGCTGAATATTTTGCGGATTTGATTTCCATAGATTACAGCTCCTCGGATAATGAAATTGCCGCTCGCAAGAAGGTTGCAGATTTGGTGGAGGCGTTTGCAAGCAAGCAGAAGAAGATTGGGCGAGATAATCCTCTGACTGCACTCGACTTATTGATGGACCCTGATGATGAGAAGTTCATTCACGACACCGTGGTATCGAACAGGAGTGGCTTTCTATGGCAGTTCCAGATGTTGTTGAGACGAGCTTGGAGACAAACGACGAGGGACAAATCAACGAACAGAGTGCGAGGTACCATGTCCATCACATCTGCTCTCATATTTGGCTCAATTTTCTGGCGCATGGGCCGGTCTCAGACCTCAATTCAGGATCGCATGGGCCTCCTTCAGGTAGCTGCGATCAACACAGCTATGTCTGCTCTTACAAAGACCGTGAATGTGTTTCCGAAGGAGAGAGCTATCGTTCAACGAGAACAAGCCAAAGGGAGCTACTCTCTGGCTCCCTACCTGATCGCCAAACTCGTGGCCGAAGCGCCCGTCAGCGCTGCCTTCCCTCTCATGTTCGGCGCTGTTGTGTACCCCATGACTCGTCTTAACCCGTCCCTCCAAAGGTTTTTGACCTTCTCAGGTGTTATGACCGTCGAAGCTTTCGCAGCATCTGCCATGGGTTTGACAGTTGGCGCCATTGCGCCCACCACTGAAGCTGCTCTTGCACTTGGCCCATCCCTAATGACAGTGTTTATAGTGTTCGGTGGTTACTACGTGAACTCAGACAACACTCCTACAATCTTCCGGTGGATCCCAAAGGTCTCCCTTATCCGATGGGCATTTCAAGCTCTCTCAATCAACGAGTTCAAAGGCCTCACCTTCGACGTGAAGAACTCATTTGATTTGCAGGATGGCGACCAGGTTTTGGAGAGGCTGTCCTTCGGTGGTAAGAACGTGCAGAATGCCGTCAACCAGGAGCTCCGCATTGCGTTGTTCTGGTACTGGCTCACCTACGTGCTCCTCAAGAGAAACAAGGCCAAGTTTCAAGTTCTGGAAGCTCCCAGCAAGGTGACCCCCCACGAGTTGGCAGTTGAAGATGTTTGATTAGCATTTGCTAAGTTTGGTGGCAGATTGCTGTACGGAGAAGTGTAGATTTATTGGTACCATATCACATTCGGCTTATGAAGCAGAGATAATTTGTAGCCAGGAGGAAGCCTTTCAGACCTTCTCATGTAACGTGTATACTGGATGATCACCTTTGAAGGTCCACCGGAGCTGGATTTGGTTTATAAGAGTGACACTAGAGAAGAAAGTGAACAGGATTTGTACAAGTTCGTTAGGGTTACAGCATCCTGGAATCAATTTGTGAAGGGACAATGTAGTTTCTTTTCAAGCGTGGGAAAACGATATCACATCTGACTCTGTCCTACTCTCTGAGTCTTTGCGCTTTTTGTATGAAATTGTGAATAAGTATAAAAAATAAGGTGTTTTTTTGAAGGAGTATAAGTTAAAATACACAAAATTAAACTGCAACATATTTTAAAAAAATTATTACATAATCATGTGTCTATTATGTTTTCAACAACATTCTAAATTAAAAACATATTAATCCAAGATTATTTAACAACTGAAAGATGGCATGTTACACTAAAAGAATGTAAAATAGTACTAAAAAGGTTGGAAGTTTTGAATCTTCGCTAAGATGTTTCAATGATGTTTGTTGTGTCTTTATATAGATCCATCAATATTTTTTTAAAGGAAAATAAATAAATATTTATTGTAATAGAATATATATATATATATATATATATATGTATATATATTTAATTTCTAAACTATTATAAATATAATATGAAAAAGTTTCTTTTTAAAAAAATTAGATAAGAATACAATCTTAGACAAAATATTATATCAAATGATTATATATATATATATATATATATATATATATATATAATTTGCAATAATAATCACATTTATATATTATTGATTATATATATATAATCAATAATGTTATGAATATTTCATTTTTTATTCAAAGAAATTAATAAACTTTATTATTAACATATTTTAAAATAATTTTAAATATTTACTATTTTACTTAAATTATGACACAAAAAAAACATTAACATAAAAAATAACATGTATGTATGTATGAATGTATGTATATATATATATATATATATATATATAATTGGAAAAATTATAAATAATCAACCAACTAACATACATTATATTTTATAAAAATCAACATGCAAAAAGATATGTATTTTTTAAAAAAACTTGAATCTTGAATTTTTTTTATAATATTACTATTTTATTCATTTGCAATAATAATCACATTTTGAATAATTTTAATAAGATAAAGGTATTTGTAGAGTTTTCTTGCATGACAAGTCATTGAAACAGATTTCTAGGGCAACAATTCAATGGCGTCGTCCACGTCACAGTGCCACCTCAACGAGAGAGGGCATCATTGCCAGCCCTCTCTCCCCTGCCTTCCCTACTACTAAAGTACACAAGCCATATGGTGGAGAGTCATGGCCAGGTGGAGTGGTCTCCAAAAATGCATTAAGGCTGTCTGTATAGATGGAGGGGAGGAGAGGGACACTTATAAATAGCCTCTTTTTGGCTACCCCTCTTTGTGGGAAGGTTGGTGTAAGGGTTGAAAAAGTTTGATCCTCTCACTTGTTTGTAAAAGATTTCATAAAAAAAAATGGAAGAGGTAAGTGTGAGCCAAGGCATTCTTGATGCCTATAGAAATATTGCGGCTATATGGCGAAGAAGCGGTTGGGAGAGCCATCTTTTTCAACCTAAGGTTAAAATTGTGTAGAGGCATAATGTAGGATGTGGAAATGTTAGTAACCGGAAGTGAGTCTTGTGTGTCTTAAAAGAAGGTCCTATGACTCATTTCTCCTTAGAATCTAAGTTTGCGATTTAGGCTTAATTAAAAAAATTGAGAGTCACTTTGGAAGTGAAAGACAATGTAGAAAGTGATCTCTAAGTGCTGATATTGAAGAGCAGCATCACGACACAGAGTTGTAATGAGGTTCCAAAATTGCGATGCACTTGGATCCAAGGATATGGCGTGGCACGGTCTTGAATCACAGTACGTCTTGACACAAAGTTGCAACATGGCACAGTACCACAGTGCAACACGAGAGGCACAATGCAACTACTTCCAAGCTTGGATTCCAGCATTACACCTATTTTATTTCAAGATTCAATGGAGACTCAAATAGATTGTTTTGGGAGTTTTTTAAAGTTTATTTTAAGTAAGTAATATTGTTCTCATTAGGTGGTATTAGAGTCTTTAAGATTAGAATTGGGAGTGAAGACTTGAAGGAAAATTTCAACAACAAATTTTGGCTAAGGCAAGAGGAATTAATTAAGATGGTGAGGCGGTAGTGGATCTAGTGATGCTGAAATTAATTGTTTTTTTGTGATCTTTGGATTTTGGTGTGGTAATGAAAGCGGGATATTTTCTGGCATTGGAATCTAAGTGTGCGGCATTGTTGCGGCTGGAAGCAAGGTCTCTAAGTGCTTTTATATAGGACTAGAGATTGCGCTGTTGTTCGGTTCTTGTAGCAACGGCGGTTAATGGTGGACCTACACGGTTTTGTTGTTGTTTTTATTGTTGATTCCGTTGGTGGCGGGCAGTGCAGTGCGCGGAGGTGCATTGCTGTTGGCCAAGGTAGTAGATTCTACATGTGGTGGCACAACACTGTGGAGATCAGCGTTGCTATTTTTTGTTTTGTTTTTTTGTTTTTTGTTTTTTGTTTTTTTTGGTTTTTTCTCTTCTGTGGGGGTAGCTGATTCCAAGTTTTTGCGCGGAAAAGACTTAGATACGGTTAAGTCGCAATATTGTTGCATTTGAGATCTGTCGGCAGTATCAGTGGAGATCACCTGCGCCAATTTTGTTATTTTTTGTATCAATTGGACTGGCTGTGTTCGGTGGGTGGACTAGACATCCGCGGAGGTGCTGCAGTGTAGCTGGTGTATTTTTTTTGTCTATCTGGTCTCAGAGTACGGCCTTCAGAATTCATCGTCGCGGTGTGTGCCAATGTGCGGCGGTTTCTCTGGCGTTGCAGAACTAGAGGTAGCTCATTGTTTTTTTCACTCCCTTGTTGTTGGGATCAATTGCTAGTGTTTGGGTTCTATCGACATCAGATGGTGTGGAGGTCTCTGCTCAAGGCGGTGCTGAGGAGCGGAACCAGTGGCGATGATGGCACTGAACTTAGTATAGTTTTGGTGGACAAGGAAAGCATCGGAGAAATGCTATGAAGGGTCACAGTGGTGTTGGCGAAGCTCGTTGAGTGGGAGGAAGTTAGCAGCTCGATGGAGTATCGCTCGTAGACTGCCGATTGTTCCCGATGGTGATAGCTCTTGTCAAGTCTGATCGTTGACCTACGATAAGTCGTAGGTGCTGCGGTGGCCTTCATTACGAAACACTGCCTAGTGTTCAGCTCACTGATCAACTTCAAAATTCTCAGTTAGAACATGGTACTTCAACATGTTAACGACCAGGTAATGTGTGTAGGTTGAATGACCACCCAAGTAACCACCGAAGGCACCGTTGTTGCTCAGCAGCACAGATGTGACACAGCTGAAAATCTAAAGCAAAAATCTTAAGATAATCAAGCTTGAGGAAAGGAAGAGCCGCGGAGTGATTTTGGCTATTCGGGGGCATTTCCACGACTGATTTTTGCCTATGTTGGACTGCTAGTAGTTGAGTCTCGCCAACTTCGACCTGCAGGTGGATGTAGGTTCCACTGCTCCATGTTGCTCAGAAACTTCCTCCTTCATGTGTAACAATTCGAAGTGCAAGGAATTGGAGACAAGCGGTTGTGCAAGTAAAGGTGTTGAATTGTTGAAGTTCAGGGAGGTCAAGGCTCTTCTTCAACGGCTGTTATCAGGAGAAGATTGCAAGCAAGGTGATTTCAAGATTCATAGAAGGGATCTAGGTTAAGAAGGAATCAATAAAGGTTTGATATGTCAGGATTTTGGATGAAATTTAATTAAGGATTAAATTAAGTTTAAATTAAGGATGAATTCTTAAACATGGATGAAGTAATATCCATGATAGAAGAATGAATTTTCTTTCATGGATGGTTTTTTATTAATGAATTTTGATTAAAATAAAATAAAATAAAAATAATAAACAAAAGAAAAAATAAGAAAAAAAAACTAAAAGAAGGATATTTTTATGGCATTAAAGTGTTGAGAGATTTATTATGATAAATGTGAATTGGTTATAGAGTTTTGATTTGATTGCTTGGATTTTTATAAGGAGAATAAAGAATGATTTGATTAGGATTTTATTAATAGCTATATCTACTAAAACTCACAAAGTTAATTCATTCATTGTGAACTAAAATAAATTTTAAATTAATAAAGGTTCATTTTAGCTCACATATCCACTTTTAAGAGTAGATGAGTTGTTGGATAGGTTGAGTGGTAGTAAATATTTTAGTAGAATTAATCTTAAAAGTGGTTACTATGAAATAAGGATTACCTAAGAAGAGATAGAAAAAACAACTTGTAGAATCAAATATGGTTCTTATAAGTTTGTAATAATGCCTTTTAGTTTATGTAATGCTTTTGTAATCTATAGCACCTCAATAAATTGTATCTTTCATGAGAAAAGTGATGAGTTTGTAGTAGTTTATATTAATAATATTTTAGTCTTTTCCAAAAGTGAAAAAAAATACAAGAAATATTTGGAAGTAGTCTTGAAGAAACTTAGAGAAGAGTATTTTTTTTTGGAAGAGTTAGAATTTCTAAAACATGTTATCAATGGAGAATGACTAATGCAAAATCCAAAGAAGGTAGAAGGAATCAGAAACTAAGAAGTACCAAAAATTCAAAAATAAATAAGGTCCTTCTTGGGACTAGCAAATTATTACAAGAAGTTCATAAAGTGCTCTTCAAAAATTGCTAGTCTCCTTATAAGTTTCTTGAAGAAAGATATCAATGCCATTAAATGGGATATAAAATGTGAAGATTCTTTTTAAGAAATAAAAAATGTTTTAGTTTCAAGTACTATCTTATTCTATCCTTAGTTTGATATGAAATTTGAAGTCCATACAAATGCAAGTGATTTTGCAATTGGAAGAATTTTAATACAAAAAGGAAGATCCATGGCTTTTGAAAATAAAAAGTTGAGTGAAAGCCAATTGAGATGGCTAATACATAAAAAGGATTTATTCGCAGTAGTATATTGCTTGAAGGCTTGAAGATATTACTTAGGAGGTAGAAAAACTAAAGTATATATTGATAACATTTCTCTTAGTACTTTACTTGAAAATGACAAGCGTCTTCAAATGAGTTAAGGTGGTATGATGTAATAGTTTTAGTAAATATTGAACTTATCTACAAATCAAATAAAAATAACTTTGTGCTAGATGTACTAAGTAAAAGGAAGAAGTTCATGGGAGAAAAATACCATGATACATTGACACTAAATACAATGGTATATTTAAATGACTCTTCACTCATAAAAGACATTAAAAAAGGTTATGAATAAGATGAAAATATATTTGAAATAAAGAAAGCATTTACTCAAATAAAAACTAGAAAAGAAATAGAGGAGATTTATGAAAGTCTCTTCTATAAGAGATGGACTTATTTGGTTTGAGCAAATGAGATTCTATGTAGTACAAGGCAAATACAGAAAGAAAGTAATATATGAAATATATGACTCTTTATGTGGGAGACATAGAGGTGTGAAAACCATACTCAAAAATGTGGCAAAATCTTACTATTAGCCTTTCATAAAGAAAGATGTAGATCAATATGTAAAAAGTTACTTAATATGTCATAAGAATAAACAGTCAAGACAAGTAAAAGTAGGACTTTTGGGACCATTATCAATTCCATCTTTACCATGTAGAGATATTTCAATAGATTTCATAACTAGCTTATCAAAGTGTGGTGAAGCTAACTCCATATTGATAATTGTTGATAAATTTAGCAAAACTATTAAATTTATATTAATGATAATATTCTCAAAGGATTCAAAAGAACAGTTAGAAACTATGCCAAGGATGATGGTATGATTTTTTTTTGATGGATGGATCTTTTTGTATGGAATAACCTCAATTTTGAGTAATAGAGATGTGAGATTCAAAACTCAATTTTGGCAACATGTTATGAAAAAATTGGATTTCAAAATACTACTAATAAGTATTTGACATCTACAAAAAGATGGCCAAATTGAGAGACTTAATGAAGTTCTTTCAATGTATCTAAGATACTATGTGGCAAGTGACTATAAGGATTGGATCAAATAATTGCCTATAGCTGAGTTTAGTTATAATACTATTCAAAGTGAATCCTTAGGAAATACATCTTTCCAAGTGGTTCATGGTTTTGATGCACTTAGGCCAATTGACTTGATAGGATTAGACAAAGTGATGAAACAACTTCTAGCTTCTATTCAATAGAAGAAGCAAGATGGATGGCTAAAACAAAAACTAAAATGAAAACTACCAAAGCTAGACTTGAGTTAGCTCAAAAAAAATACAAGAAATAAATTGATAAACATATGAAAAATATGCATTATGTAAAAAGAGACAAGATGTGGTTGAATACAAGTAATCTCACTTTTCTAACATATCTCATTTCTAAATGGATTCAAAAATAGGCAAGTCCTTATAAAATTGAAAGAATTTTATATAAGAATTTGTATGTCTTAGAAAAATCTAAGAGATTGAAGTGATATTTGGTTTGTATGTAAGTATCGTTAGGAAATTTGAAGAGGATATAAAAGACTTCTACAAAGAAAAGGCAAGGATTCTATCTTAGGAGGAGGTGTGGAATCAAACCATGGATCAAGTAGAGATAATTATTTAATAAAAAATATATGGATGTAAGAAGAATTCAATACTTGTGTACTTTCAAAGGTTATCATTTATATGAGTTCTAATGGATAAATAAAAGAAATTTAAGATATGTACAAGAATTAGTCATATCTTTTAATAAAAAAGTAAGTAACTATAGAAGACCAAGGACCACAACAAAATCAATCAATAATCATTAAGGTGATTCTTTGATACAAGTTAAGGGAGAAATAAGAATTACTAAGAAGATGGAGATATCTTCATTTCAAAGTGGAGGAAGGTCACAATCCTATGTAATAATAAAAGATTTATTTTATGAGTCAAAAATATAGAAGAACTCCAAATAATACCAAAAGGGGAAAAATATGATGATAGGAAGAATACTACTTAGAAAAAATTAAAGAAAACATGTTCTAAAAGATTATAGTGGAAGAAGTTCTCAAGAGACAAAAGATTTTGAAGGATTCCAACTCAAAGAGATTTTATAGAGAAAAACCTTAAGAAACTTGTATGAAGTAGATACAAGATTTTGAGTAACTAGACCTAATTGATTAGCCTTTTTTAAATGGATTTCTTGTTGAGTGATTGCAAGTCACTTCTAAGGATACTAAGGCAATGCAGATCTTAATTAAGGAGTTCAACAACTATGGCAAAGTATAAATGAGAACTCAAGTCCTCATGATTCACATTAAGAAGTATGAACTTTCAAATCCAAAATTTGAGAGAACTTAGGGAAGTTGAAGGTAAGGAAAGAAATTACACAAAGAAATGCAAGAAGGGGATAGGAGACATTTGCAAGTTTGTCGTTGTTGGATACGATATCCAATCACTTGGTATATGTGAGCTGCATGACTGATAGTGAGTTGAAACATAGACTTACACGTGATTCACAATGGAAGTATAGTACATCTGGCGATTCACGTGATAAAGTTTGATTCTAATGTAGATAATGCATTGATATGATTCAGATGTCATGATGTGTACCGTCATGTACAAATACCAGTGTCTTTGCTTCCGTCAAGTTTTTAAAGTGATATTTATACTTTAGAAGTTTTGTGCCAGTTTGTACTAGTAGTTGTGATCGGGCAATCTAGAAAGCAATGTGAATGTCGCTTTCAAATTCAAGTTGATGTGCAGTTAAAGAATTTTTCAATTGCAGCATAATATTCCTCTTTTAAGTTCTCTGAGTCGGATTGCGGATGATCCATTGTCAGAACTTGACACTGATTTATATATTTCGGGTATCAATGCTTATCGGGTATCTTAATCGAATTCTAAAAACTACGCGAAAACAGGTCTTTGCTCGGTGGTATCATGCACCTGAGCTGCTATTCGGCTCCATAATGTATGGATCAGGTGTAAACGTTTGAGCCGCGGCATGCATTTTCGCAGAGCTCATCCTTCGTCGACCTTTTCTTCAGGTAGGATCAAGAATGGGTTGTGGATAAGCTCGGTTTGCTGCAATGTCTACGTGTATCTTCCAGTAGTGCCATGATTTTCTACAGCTTTTCTTATTGCATGATGCTAGGTTTGGGTGTGCCATCTCATCACTAACTCATCTCATTGCCTTGCACTATAACAACCTCATATCCAAGCATCTTTTAGAAAAATGGTAGTGAGAAACATGTAAGGATCAGCGTACTGTCACTTGTTTTGCTATCCTCAGGGTTCCAGCGACATTGATCAACTGGGTAAGATCTTTGCAGTGTTTGGAACTCCTCGAGAAGCCAGATATGACCTCCCTCCCTGATTATGTTGAATACCAGTACTCTCCTCCTCAGCCCTTTCGCATTTTGTTTCCTCAAGCGAGTGAATGTTCACGTACGACCCGAAGCAAAGAATCACTGCTCAGCAAGCACTAGAACATAGGTAATTGTTTATATTGGTCGTGTATTTGTATCCAAGTACATGTTGAAGTGTTAGTCTAATATCCTCATTGGCACAGGTTGATGGTCTTTAGTGATTGTACTGAACTGCTTTCTGTTGCCTCTAATCGCTCAAGTAATTGAAATTTATGGTTCAAGCTAGACTATGGAATGCTGTGCTGTGCTAAGTTGTTTGCTCCTATCTTGTATCCCTAGAATTAGTCTATCATATTCGTGGGAATGAGATCTTCTTCGACGCTGGGAACGTATTGTAAATTCTAGACACCCTTGTGTGGTAAATCAAAGAGACTTTTGTCAACTGTTGGTTATAATACTGAAGAATAATGTTAAAATCCAATGTTCCTTTGCAAGCATTAAACTGTACATTGCTAACGGTTAATTTTTTCTGGGTTGTCTTATCCAGTACGGATAGATAGTATTTGAAGAGGAAGCTAGGTATGGACATTTTCCTTACTCCTGCACGGCGATGAAGATCACCGTCTACCAATCACCCCAACCCGTAGTCACTACATCTGTTGTTAATTGTATTTATCAAGGTCATTTATTGAAACACAAAGTTGCAGAGAATGAACTCGAATGGAGTTATCAGCGTTAGTGCAGCAGAGCTAGATGATTCACTCAGAATCAAGTGAATGAGGGTGCTCATTATGAAGGTCTTTAACATCAGAGACCTTGCATTTAATTTATTAGTAGTTTTAGGGTTTCGTAGCATACAGTTGTAGATGATGGCTATGAAAGCTATGCAATACCCTCATCCATGGAGACTCCAAATGGCTGAAATATGGAGAGCATTGATATGTTGGGTAGAAAAAACCAGGTGTGAGGGCACCTGTGCAACACCAACGTGATCTTGTTTAAGGTTTTGCTTCTAGATGCTCATGATTTTCTTATGGTTTTACAATAGTATTTGAGGCTAAAACAAATCTTAAAAAAATTAAATTAGATGTAGAGATTAGGGTAGATTCTAACAGTTTTTAAGAATTTGTCTTAAGAATTCAAAGATATAGATTATTAGGAACAACTAGTTTTAAGAGTCAAATTGTTCTCATTGAGATTTATTTCCTAATGGGTGTTAAGAAGTATGGAATTTGAGTTTCTCATACATATAACATATTATATGGCTTCTGTATTAAAACTCTAATCTCCCAAATATTAGAGTTTAAATACAAAGACAAAGAACAGTCCATAGTAAAATCAATAACATTGTACTAAACTACTTCCATGCTATAAAGATCCACCCAAATTCTTATTATTGTTAAAATCAAGCAATAATCTTAAATTTATTTTTGCAACATTCTTTAATTATCAAATTTTATAATTAAAAAAAAAATCCAACAGATCAAACAAATTTTAAATAGTGATAAACAAAGCTATTAATGTATTAGAAGTATTAGAAGCACTCTTATTTATAGATAAATAAATAAATAAATAAATAAATAAAAAACAAAACAAAACAAAAAAAAACCAAAAAAACCAAAAAAAACTCAAGAAAGACATAATAAAATAAAAATAAAATGAGGCTTTTTGTTTGTATATATTTTTTGTTTCCCCCCCTTTAAGAGTAATATTAGACAATAAAAACTTTTAGATCGAGAATTAATGAATAAAAAAGATAAATTAATTAATAAATTAAAAATAAATATAATAAAGAATTATAATAAATTTAATGATAATATTTTACTTATATAAATATAATAATTTTAAGTATTTTTATAATTATAGATTTGGATCTTTGTAGTTAGATAAATTCAAACCAAAAACATAAACAAGATTCTAATATGGATCCATACTAGAGAATAAACACAAGACAAAAGACATCTAGGAAAATTTGAAAATGATTATAGAACCTATTAACAATATCACATTAAAAAATTTCAATAGAAACAATAGCCAAAGTATAGAAGATGGCATTTAATTGATGTATAAATTAGAATCTAAAAACAATAAAGATAATTTGATATAGAAAAAAACATCAATTAGAAGATTGGTATTTTAAATAATAAATTTATATATTTCTAAGGTTGTTTAGAAAGAAAAGGCCAAAAGGTGTTATAGTACTTATATTCAAATTTGACTTATAAACTTATCACATCCTACAATATTTGCATTTTTTTTTCCTAACATTAAATGTTGATATGTATAAGATTTCAGAGATTTAAAAATAAAAAATACTAAGTAAAAAAAAATTAATAGAATTTAAAAATTTTAATTAATTAAAACCATGCTTAATTTGTATACTTAAAAAATAGAACAATAACCATAATTAAAGATTAGAACATATGAATTTTTTACAATTTTAGATTTTTTTCTTTTAACATTTCATAACTATTTTAAATTTTATTTCTAAGTAGACTTTTATAAATGATTATATTTGTAGATAACTAAAATTAAAAAAAATTAAGAATACTTTTTAACAATCACAATTTCAATAATTCTAAGGTACTTATGGCATTTTTTAAATAAATGGAATATAACACAAATATCAAACTATCTATTTCATGATTTTTTTATAAAGAAAAATACTTATCAATATTATATAATAGATATTATTTAAGATATAATATCAAAAAATACTTAATGAATACCTATAAATCCTATTAAAAAATAATAAAATAATAAAATAAGACAATACAAGACACAAGTTAAACATTATTTTTTATAAGAATTTTTTTTAATTTCTTGCAAGTACAAATTACTTGTTGAAGATCAACAAGATCTTACATACTTGCCACCACATAAAGTTAAACCATAGTAAGTTGCTAATAGTCGAAAGATAATAAAGGATTAAAAGATGTTACTATGATAGATAAGATAGCAATGCAAAGCCTCAATAGAATATTGGATAGATGTATTTATTTAAGGATGGAAGTTGTTCATTAGGATAGCAGCCACCTTCTATAAGTAATGGATGTTGGAAGTGAGAAATATCTTACTCCACACTTCTTTGTGTGTGCAAACCTTGCTAATGCTAAATGTTTGTAGCTTTTAGACTTCTTTTCTTCAATACTACTAATGTGATATAATATATTTAATCAAAATATATAATTAAAATAAATCATTTATAAACTTTAAAAATTATTAAAATAAAATTAATAATTTTCAAATCTTTAGAGATTGTATTAGATTGTTTATTAAAAAAGCATATTACATATACAACTGATTATTGAATTATAAAATCTTAGGGCAGTTTAATTTGGTCAATTTATAATATATTAAGTCTCATTTAGTAAGCGATTAGAATATTTAAAAGATAAATGAATTTACAACATTATATCATATAAGATTAATTATATCTTTTATATTTCAAATAATAATTTTTTTAAATAAATTATCTTGGCATTTATTTTACTATCTCATTTTACTTGACTTAAGAAAAATATCAATATAATAATAATAGATGAATTTTTTTTAAAGAATAAATAAAATAGCTACTAATCTTATATATCACAATAAAATAAAATACTTTAAAATATATTAACATTATGTATAACAAGAAATATAAAAAATATATGTATAGTCAAACCTCTATAAAGATTATGCCTTGGAAATACCATTTTTATAACTAATAGAGATATTAAAATATTAACCTTTAAAAAAATTATAGTCATATGTAAATAATTTATAAAAAATAACTATTATTTAATAAATAAATTTAAAGTACAACTATTAAAATTTTATTACAGTACAAAACAACAAAAAAAATATTACTTATTAAAAATAATAAATAAGTGAAGATTGATTCTTTATTTGTTAGCCATAGAAGCTTAAAATATCTTTTTCTAAGCTTAGAAATTTTTCTAACAAACTACTAGTATCATTAGTATGTTGTTTCAAATACAAAAAAAATATTTGTAATACTTGATGCTACATTTAAATATGTAATAGATCGTTATTTAACTTCTAATATAAATTTATTATCTTTTTCAATACTAATTGAAGGAAACATTTGGTTCTTAATTTCTTCTTTTATATCATCATTAGGACTTACATTCAAATCAAATTCTACTTCAAATTGAATATATTCCACAACACCTATAGTAAGTTGGTTTTTAATTCTAAATAATAAGTCTAAAAGTTATTGAAGTAGATCATAGATCTTTCTAATAGGATTAAGCACTAGAATCCTAGTATTATCATTTAAATCAATTTTATAATATAAACCAATATATCTCTAATAATGTTATATAGTATTAGCTTAGACATTAATATGTCATGCTTTTACTATCATAGTAATTGCATCATACATATGAATTTTAGGCTACATATTTGACATTAAAACATTAATTGATCTTCAAATAAAATCCTTTTGATATTGTGCTTTAAATGATATAATATTGGTGTCCATTGGTTGATAACAACTCATAGTATTTGTTGGCAAAAACTCCAATCTTAAAATATTGATTCATGCTCCAATATTCACAATTTTGTGGCCTAAAAAACTATCAAGTAATAATAATATTTTTTTTGTTTTGTGTAAGACATATCTTCTATTCAAAGTCTAAAAGAAAATTTTCAAACATTGATATTGTTATCTATGGTCAAGAATTGCTTCATAATTCTAGCATAAAATCTCTTAGCCATTGAAATAGTTATGTCTCTCATTGATGTAGCATTTATCTCTTATATCACTTGAATCCACTTATGAGTAGCATCTTCAACTAGTCAACATTTTGTCTTTTTCTTCTTTTTTTTTTTTTTTTTTTTTTTTTTTTTTTTTTATTGATAAACTTCAACATAGTAAAAAATAAATATTTTTTTTAAAAAAAATCTAAAAATAAATATTTTTTAAACTAAAAATCCTACATAAGAAGATATTCATATTTCCAATGCATGATTAGTCATAGTTTTTTCACCATTTCTTTTCCTCTCATAATGCTTTACAATCAATTATATCTACTCAAAAATTAATTTCTAATACTTCACTCTATTACTAGGTACATGTGGCCTTGCTGCATTCACTAGAACTGATATGTTGAAAATATGCATTACTTATCCAAAATATAGTTATAGATATATAACACTTATAAAATTACAAATATAAATTTTAGTTAGAACTAAGTAGAGTTAGAAGTTGATAGAAATATAAATTGTAATATTATAGAGTAATCTTACAAGAAATTTTAAGTTTAAATTTTAACATTACATCATAAATTATACATTAAATTAATATACCATTTGATGATTTATTTTATATAATATCCTACTAAATTAAATATACTCTTATAAAATCAAATCTATAATCAATATAAGCATATAATAAGTATTGCAATAATAATGGATGAAAAATAAATTTATTAAAAAATAATAATTATTATTATAATAGTAATTGAATTAAATTTAATATAAATTAGAATAATTGGATTATTTCGAGTACAAATGTGCAAAACAATTTCCAATCAAAGTTTTATTTTGATAGATATGAGTACGAAAAAAAATAAAAATTAGAATTATTTTGAATTTTTTGGCATTCATTTCTCCTAAAATACAACTTCAATTAAAAATTGATTTACAAATTTGGGCTTATAATGGTCCAATTAGTCTAAATATCACATATCTATAAGAAAATTCAGAAAAATAAATAAATAAATAAACTTGATTACATTATAAATAAAGATGTTTAATTTATAATATTGATTTATTAGAAATAAGAGTAATGTACTTTACTAAGTTCATCCTTATATATAATCAATCACATGCAATAATCTCCACGGTGTTAAATCCATTAAATCATAGTGTGGAGACTTCAAATCTTTTATTTAATTTATAAGTCTATCTCTATTATGATATTTGGATGCAAATTTTTTAATATGTTTAGAAGTGCATTGTAATCCTATTTGGAATGACAAGAAAGCCCCAATATCTCTAGTTGTTACAAATTGATGAAAAGACTCCTATTATCTCTACTTACAATGAAGAAAAGATTTCTACTTGCATTGATTAGAAATCCTACTTGTATTATCTGTTCAATTGAATTTTTTTAGTATATTTGACTAATAAACGAGAAATCCAATTTTCATCAAGTTATACTTAATATTAGAGAAAGTATAAAAAATTAACTTTGAACAATTTAACTATTAGTCTTGTAATGTTTTATGGAGTACAAAAATATTAACAAATAGAATAAAATAACTTATGTTAAGACAACCTTCATCAAGATTTGATTGCATATATATATATATATATATA